CTTTAATTTTTTTCTCAATATTTTTAATTGTATAAGAACTTTTATTCCTGTTGACTTTTTTAGTATTTTCCACTAAAATTAATTTAAGTGTTGCTCCAGTACTAGCAATAAGACTGCAAAGAATCTCAGAAAAATATTTGGCTAATAAGCATCTCTGATATTCAACTTTAATATAAGTTTCTACTACTGAAGATAAATTAAGTGTATAACAATTAGTAATTTTATCTCATACACACTGGCCTTTTATTATTTTTGGTAAGTCTCTAGGTCTTAATGCTAAAAGTTCAGCCTGAATAAGTTCTCAACATGGTTCTTTGAAAATATTAAATTTTTTGCTATGATAAAGGGAAACTATACATAATGGGTAGTCACAGATTCTGAACAACATCTGAGCAAATGCTTCAATATGGACAGGAGTTGTAATATTAGTAATTCCTATAACTGCATCAAAATAACTAGATATTTCAAAAGAGATACCAGCTTCTATAGTGCTTGTATAAATTACACAGTTAAGAGCACTTCAGGTGGCATTAATATTAGCAGAATCATCTTGGCATTGTTTCTTATCTATTTAACCAAAATAAACCTAGGATAAAATAAATGAACTATCAGGTTTTTGAAACTTAGATGTATGATCAGCTAAGGCTCAAGCTTATTTATAGCTAGTTATAACAAATACAATATGCTTACCTTCTTGAAGCATCTTAAAACCTCTATGTATACTTTCTAAACCTTTATCCAGATCATAAAGAAATTTAACAATCTTTGCTTTATGTGGTTGATATTTGTTGTCAATAATCTAAATATTTTCACCTCGATAGAATTTTAAGAAAGCTAAAGTTGAGTCATTTGCAAAAGCATCCATAGCAACAACATGAGTGGCTATATTTAACAAATTATACATGGCATTGGCAGATTCTCAAGCATGAACTTCACTATTTGATACATAGTGGTATTTGCTTTATCTAAAATTGCTATACAAGAATGGCTCTTTAAAAATCAAGACAAAGAATACTTTCAACCTGTATAATAATAAGGTCCCAATCACACATCTTTAAGTTAGCTACAATATTCTAATATTGCTCTACTCTGAATTAAATTTTTCTAATTCTTTAAGTTTAGCTTCAAATTCATTGCTAAGGGTTTTACAATATAAAACCTATATAGTACAAGATAAATTGGCACTACTTTGAGCTAAAGATGCCAAAATTTTTCTTAGTGTTTTTGTTTTTTCAGTACGCATAGTAGAATGAATAAGAGTGGTGCTAGGCTTTTTACTTAAGAAGTCTAGAAAAGTATCTAAAGCATCCTCTATTTCTTTTATATTAATACTTTTTCTAGATAATCTGGGAAATTGACATGGAGTTGATAGAGCCTTGGGTAATCTTTCATATAATATCCACTTTTTAGGCTTCACTTCTGATTTGACTTTGTCTGATACCTTACTAAAGCTTAGCCCTTTATGCTCTAGCTTATATTGTTTTTGGTAATAGCATTTAAGTACGAAATCTTTATTTTTTTGAATAAATCTATAGAGTTGATTCTTATCATATTAATGTCACAATAGGGTATTTTTTAACAGATTGGGCTTGAAAATTAATAAAACTATTCCTAATTTTTCCAATCTGGAGCCACCATATTTTGCAATAACTAGATTGGCTCCTTTGACCAAGGCATTTTTATCATTAATAGGTTGGGATTCTTGTTTTACTGGCTTCTTAGAAGAAAAGGTTCATGGCCAGATTACAGAATAATTTTTTTTAGGCTGAACCAGATAATCATCTAGATTTTTAAATCTGTTTTTAACAGAAAAAATAGCAGGTCTTCTAATATAACCTTCCTTAGCTAATCCCACAAGCCAAAGATTAAAATATGTTTTGGAAAAGCTATAATAATAAATTTGAATAAGGTTTCTTAACTAATTTTATAACTTTTTTTGTAAATCTTTAAGTTCTCTATAATCTATGAATTGAGTATAAAAATAAATAATATGCCAACTACATTTCTCAGCATTTGATAAACTTACTAAAGCAAAAGAATCTGAAAAACTAGAAACCCCAAAACTAATAGTTTTACCTCCATTTTAGATTAGATACTCAATAAATATAACCTATTAGCTAAATCAAACCTGCTTCAATTACGTGCTCATTCTGATAAGCTTGATACTATGCTACCAGATTGGAAGGCTTGTAAAGATGTAAAAGAGGCTTTTCGCCAGTGTTTATTCAAGAACAATCAAATAAAAGCTCTTGTACCAGACAAAAGGGAGAAAAAACTTACTATCAAGGAAAGAGCTCAATATTGTACAAAAACTGAAGATGTGTGAAATATTTTTTACATGCTTTAGATGCCAAAAAATAATACAAATGAAGTGATTGTAGTAGCTAGTTCTTGTGTCTCACAATTTTGTAGAGAGTTAGCAGAAGCTGAAATTGGTTCTGAGCAAATTGATATATATACCAAATTGCCAAAAGTTACTCGAGCTTTTAATAAAATTCAAAAGAGGCAACTCGAACAGTAATTGCCCAATTTACCTAAAACTCCCAAACACTTTTCTTTAGAGAAAGAACTTAGAAAAATTCAAAATATCAATACTACTAAAATCTGTACTATGCAAAATCTTGCATTGAGCATAAGACCTGCTGAAGTTGCTACTCTTCGAATTATCCATTATGAACCTGGTAAATCAAATTCTTTTGAATAGTTTAAGCCTGGTTATTTTTAGTATTGTACTAGGTATATTAAAAATAAAGGAGAGGCAAAAAATAATCCTGAACCTTAGCAATTTCTATTCATGGAAAAAATTCAGAATATGCAAAAGAATTGCTTACCTGGATCCAAGATGCAATAGCAACTAGAAAGTTATACTATCCTGTTTATAGTATTAATAAAAAACACAATACAAGAGTATTTAGCAAATTTTTAAAACCATATGGTATTATAGCCAAAAGATTAAGAAAAATTGGAAAAAACCATGTTGCTAGAGTTCATGGTGATCAAAATCCAACTTCGCAATATCTTGAATTCCTTAGCAAAATTGCAATGAGACATAAGATAGACCATTTTGATTCTGAAAAGTATTATGCTGAGAGTGATACTTCTGATTCTGACCCTGATTCGGATCCAGAGCCTGAACCAAAAACTCAAGCTTTCACACCCAAGCCAATTAATGAGAATACTTCCACATTTGCAATCGAGAATATCTATTTTTTATTTAGAAGTATCTAGATTAGTTCATAACTTATCTATTTGAAACATGTCGAAAAAAACCCATGATCTCATATATTTACACAAAAATCTTTATTTAACAAGTGATCATCTAATATATTTATATTTTAAAACTGCTAAATCTATAAGTAGCGAATTATACTTTATCGAGTAATAGATACTCTGCTTTCAACCCACGTCTGATATGTGATAAATCTGTAAAGAAGTAGCAATTAATCAGCAATTTTAAAAAAATATATAACACAATAAAAAAATTAACACAAACATACTAGCCCAAGTTAAATAATTACTTATCTATGTTTCTCTGCCTCTTATCACAAGCTCTTTCTGGTATCATAATTTAACTTTTTTTTGGTTGGGAGAGTGAAATTCAGTTATTCAGATCTCGTGTGTCATTGAGATCTTGCTGAAGAATCAAAGAAACAAGCGCCCCATGTGCATCTCTTAAATTCCAGCCTCTAGATCTTCATATTTTGATGAACAATTGCACAAATAATGGAAGAAGGTACTATGAACGAAATAGATGATACTGTGTCTGATTTCTCGAGTTACAGAAAAATTTAATCCTCAGGTGGCACTCTGAGTTCAATGCTAGGAATATGACTAAAAGATATTAGAATACAAGTCTTCAACTCTACATTGCGCATAAAATATATAGATGAATAGTTTTCTTATAAAATAAAGCTATTTTTGTAGCTAGGTCACACATTTTTGCATACTAAATGAATCACCCTTGCCTAAGTACTGAGTCAACTAACGGTAATTATGTACCTATTGTTGCATAATATACCCGTACAAATAACTCAGGTAACCAATTTGTTACACAAAAGCAATCTAGCACACATAAGATATAAAGAGAATTGCCAGAGGCAGTTATAAAGTAGCTAGAAGTAATATATATCTGGTTTGGATCGAAAACAATATTGTTTATTAGTGATGGTATGGTATGTTAGATTTCACTGAAAATAATAAAATTTGTTTTTATTCAAGTTTGTATTTCTTATTACAATGAGTCTAGTGTAACAATTTTTTTTTTCCAGGTAATATTTCCTTTGATGTGGCAGTTTCTTCTTTTCCCTTATTGTTGGATGATATAAGTACTAAACTTACAGTATATTACTAATAGACAGGGAAATACAACAGCAATACTACTCGATGAGCCATTAAAATTATATAATCCTAGAGCCGATGTCGTACTCAAAATGAATAACGTATACTTTCATGTAAAAAAATGTAAGAATTTAAGTAATTATTGATAATTAGTAAGTTGTATATTTACAACAATTAACTAATCAAAATTGTTTTTATTTCTGGGATATCGTTGTATGATCTATTTTAGAGTTAAATCTATTTTGGAATATACTACAAGCATAATTAATTTTCAGGTGAGACTATTAAGTTTACTTGATTATATACTAGATAAATAATGCATGATGATAGTTTGAAAAATTGACCTCCAGAGTCATCTTTTATTGATATAAATATAAAATACATATCTATTCTATATTAGTCGATACATTTGAGCTATCTAAATTTCTACTTGATCTTTGTAAGTGAGAACTGCACAATATTGACATCTTTACTATTAATACATTTCGAAAAATTAGTAAAGTATTTATAAGCTTAGCTAAAACAAAAGGATCATTAGAATAATGAATGGGGATCTCCAATTTTTGCAATTTATAATACCAATGCATCTCAACATCATCTCTAATAAGTATATTCAAACGTAGTATACTCCCTAATACCAGTATTCCTATAATGCCAAATTGTCATTTTTCCAATCTGTGACTTTTATGTGCCCAGAACATCTCATCATTAGCTTCGCACCATAACTTCACTTTAACATCATCTTTCTTTTGCTTAGTATGAACAATTTGAGAATATTCTACATATATTAGTTCATAAAATTTATTATCCTCCTTACTTACAAACATAATGTCGAGTCGCTCCTCATTTTCCTATCTCTTTTCCTATCTGTGCTTGTATTACTTTGGCATTCAAAACTAAAAAATATAGATAAATCGACATTAACATAAAAATGTCTTTGTAACATTGAAAATCATAATTATTCACATGATAATAAATGCTAATTCTCCAAAAGGATTATCAAATAAGGTGGCGCAAATTAATGGGACAACTATATTATTTACATAAGTACCCTCATTCAACATCTTACCGAACTTAGAATGTAGGCTGGATTATACCAAATAATTTTTAATGTCTCCAAAATTTTTATTGCAACTTCAGTAAGTTTTTCTTTACTTTCTTTTTAATTCCCAATATGTGATAATTCATATGGCAACCCTGATACACTCTTTGTTAGAAAATTTGACACAAATTTGTTATATTTTTCTTGTATCATAGGAGATATTATTTTTTGGCATCATTTCTTTGGCTGGTTTCTTTAATAAGAATGAAATTAATATTAGTGGTAATATATAAACCTGTTATATCCAAAAACACTAGTTTATACATACTATAAATTGTTTTCTTTGCTTATTTGGTCACCGTTTAATCAACTCTGAATTATCACTAATTACTTGACTAGCTAAGAGGTGTCACCAGGTTAGTTTCAAAGTATAAGCGTCATTCAAAAATAACAATTAACTCTTGGTAGAGTTTTGAGGTACTATTCTTGAAAATAAAAAAAAATATATAAATCTCTTATTGGTAGTGATAATATATTATAAGAATTGCAACCTCATATGTAACTTACCACAAGTTTCCTCTCAATTTATTTATATTGTAATTGATCTATTTTGAAGTGAGGGGTTTTTCTTTATGTTAATAAAAATAAATACTATTACTAATTATTCTTTTTTTTTATTTATCCCAAAACATACCATTTTTATTATCCAAATATCTAGCAAGTTATGAATAGAATCAAATACAATATTGAACTAGATGCAGTTATATAAATAAGTTAGAAGCCATTTTTGAATAAAGTGCGCTTTGTATACCATTAACTATGTAGCAGTCAGAATAATACAAAGCTATATCTGGTACAGCCTGGCTATATGAATAGAACTTTGTGAGATGCTATATTATCAACATAGAAATGGGTATAGTTCACAATATAAAAATCCTTCACATTATCAAGGAAAAATTTCAGTTGGCGGGCTAATAGGAAAGTCTATACTGTCATACTTGTTTCTTTAGAAATACATCTCCCACCCGCATCATTCATCATTCTGTGTATCAATATATTTTTTTATAAAAATTCCTAACTAACCTGTGATATAATCTGAATAAGTCTTTCACTATGTTCAAAATCTATAGTAGTTGATCTTTTTACCAAATTAACTGCTCTATTCACAATACCCCTCAGTTCATTCTTGCAAATCCATGAGTTCTTTTCAAACTCTTGGTAAATAAGCGTGGCCACCATGATATGCTCAGTTTTTAAACCAGACAAATATTCAGCAATTTTTACACACAAGTAATTAGAAGACATAGTGGTAAAAAAAAACTTAGTAAAAATGCAAGTTAAGATAGCACAAGTAACAGAATTACTATAAAGTGACGAACAACCACAACATAAATATACTGTCCTTTTAAACTATCTCCTCTACTCATTTCTGGCTACATTTAGGTATGAGAATAGTAGATTCGGGGAATGTAGAACTGGAGCAATGCAAATGCATAGCAAAAAAGTTTTCACAAAGAAAGTGCATATAGTATGAGTTAGTCAATCAGCAGGTTGCACTATTATCCCTTAATATGTAGACCAACGCAGGCAAATTTGCCTGCGTTTTTGCACTTTTTTAGCTCTGATTTACTTTTT